CTCATAGGACCAACAAAATTAGCACTCAGCTGGGCTCAATCATGCCACAGCGCCCTCCACATATGCTCCTCAAAACAAGAGCTCTGCTCACTTGTTACTTTGAGGAGCGTGTGTGGAGGGCGCTATGGCTCTTTCCCAAACTAATGTAAAACATTAAGCTTTACAGAGACCTTGTCACTAGACAATTAATTTAATAAACAAGCTTCTAAGTACATTATATGTGCATTTAACTTACACTATATTGCCAAACGTATTAGGGCACCTGCTTTTACACAAATATGAACTTTAATGACATCCCAGTGTTAGTCCGTAGGGTTCAATATTGAGTTGGCCCACCCTTTGCAGCTATAACAGCTTCAACTCTTCTGGGAAGCTGTCCACAAGGTTTATGAGTGTGTCTATGGGAATGTTTGACCATTCTTCTGGAAGCGCATTTGTGAGGTCAGGCACTGATGTCGGATGAGAAGGCCTGGCTTGCAGTCTCCGCTCTAATTCAAACCAAATGTGTTCTATTGGGTCAGGACTCTGTGCAGGCTAGTCAAGTTCCTCCACCCCGAACTCACTCATCCATGTCTTTATGGACCTATATTCACTGGTGTTGGAACAGAAAGGGGCCATCCCCAAACTGTTCTCACAAAGTTGGCAGCATGAAATTGTCCAAAATGTCTTGGTATGCTGACTCCTCAAGAGTTCCCTTCACTGGAACTAAGGGGCCAAGCCCAACCCTTGAAAAACAACCCCACTCCATAATCCTCCCTCCAACAAACTTTACACTTGGCACAATGCAGTCAGGCAAGTACTGTTTTCCTGGCAATTGCCAAACCCAGACATGTCCATCGGATTGCCAGACAGAGAAATGTGATTCTGCTCTAGAGTCCAGTGGCGGCATGCTTTACACCACTGAATCTGACGCTTTGTATTGCACTTGGTGATATAAGGCTTGGATGCAGCTGCTCGGCCATGGAAACACATTCCATGAAGCTCTCTACGCACTGTTGTGCTAATTTGAAGGCCACATGACGTTTGGAGGTCTTTAGCTATTGATTTTGCAGACAGTTGGTGACTTCTGCGCATTATGCGTTGATCCTGCTCTGTTATTTTACGTGGCCTACCACTTCATGGCTGAGTTGCTGTTGTTCCCAGCTGCTTCCACTTTGTTATAATATCACAAACAGTTGACTGTGGAATATTTAGTAGCAAGGAAATTTCTTTTCAATTCTTTTTTATTATTTTTCAGAAAGGATTACAAGTAACAGGGAAAGGTTCAGACAAAGGATATACAAAACATATACTGTACATAAGCACATCTTAGTGCCACAGTGGCACTACGCACCCAGGTCTGGTGGGTCCACAAAGTCATGGCCCATGACTTACAATTGTATACAGAATAGGGATCAACAATGTTGTCAATATCTGTAATCAACTAATGAATTTGCCCTTTAGCAAGGAGATTTCATGTGTGGACTTTTTGAAGAGGTGGTAACCTATCACGGTACCACTCTTGAATTCACTGAGCTCCTGAGAACAACCCATTCTTTCACAAATGTTTGTAGAAGCAGTCTGCATGCCTAGGTGCTTGATTTTATACACCTGTGGCCATGGAGGTGATTAGAACACCTGAATCCAATGATATGGAGGGGTGTCCCAATACTTTTGGCAATATAGTGTATATTATAAATGTTATTTTCCTATAAAAGCCTCCCATGTGTAGTCATCTAAAAGCTCTGGGACACTGCTGGGTGTTGCCATCTTGGATTGATGTTACCAGTTCCAGGAGATTCACTCTACACACACACACACACACACACACACACTATAATATTCCCTTCACTTATGACACAGCTGCAATATAAGGGAGATGTAGGGAGATGAGATGATGGACAAAGGAGCTAGGCCAGCACAGACAGTAATTAGACACTCCCAGAGGAGTTATGATGTACTAGGAGGAAGAGGGCTGTTAGCGATGTAATACTTTCTGGGGTGTTAAAGTATATGGTATCCCAATATTTCATATTCTGACATGTGTCTGTGTTACCATGTATTGTATTAAAATGTATTGTGGTCTCTTTGTATTGCTTCCTCTGTGTGAAATAACTGGTGCCAATGCTTTCCTAATTCAAACAGACCATATCAGGGCATGGAAGCACATCCATCCCAGCATGGTCAGTTTTCTTCTTTGCATTCTACTTGATAGCACATCCTGCCTGTACTCCAATGGTCCGACTTGTGCTGATCCTCTGCATGGTTATTCACTGGGAAGATCTTTGTACTGCTGTTTCTCTTCCTCCTGCTGACACACCCCCTGCATTCTTCACCCCCCACCTCTCTAAGCCCCCTGTGAAGCTGAGAACAGATCATGTGATAACATAAAAAAGGGGAAAAAGGTGTTTATAATGTTTTTTCTTATATTCACAAAAAAAAAAAAATTTGCCTTGCATTTCTATTTTAAATTAAATGGGTCATTTTACAAGGTGAAGGTTTACATATACCTTAATTACCTAGCACGTTTAGAGGTACATTGCAAGTAAATTAATTACTGTCTATGGAAAGGGAAAAAATGTGCAATGAAGCATTTTTAAATGAATTGATTTTTCTGCATTCTTTTAAAGATGGTGACAGGGTCTCTTTAGGGTTTATAAGGCAGTAATAATGCTGGCTCTTCACACTTTCAGTACAATTGGAGATGAAAGATGGGCGATGACAGGACTTAGGGGATAAGAAAAACAGGGCACACTGGAAGGAAAGTGGAATAAGAATGTAAAGGAGATGTGAACAAAAATAGATGTTGTAATGTTTTAAATTCAGGCCAGATTTTTTTGGTGGCTTCGCTTGATCGTATATAATGCTTATGCTGCCCAGTGACTGAAAGGGCAGCCTTGATTCCTATTATGACTCGGGTATAAAGAGGTTAAAGTTTGCTAAGCCACCCAGTAGTTATCATATTGCTTTTTAAATATGTCCATCACAAAAAGCCACCCTCCTCCCTCCTTCTTCCCCACCATACCTCTCTTAATGCAACCTGTACTCTTGACAAGTACGGATTTTCATCCCTAACACAGAGCAGCTGGGACCTATCTAAGTTACACCACAGCAGGCCTTTCAACCTCACAATTCCCAGCTGAGACCTCTGGGTAAAACTCTACAGAAATTCCAGCCTATGCCGGCATCCTCTGGGAATCCCTCTTAAGATACATACATTTTTTCACTCCAACTGTACGTAGGTGCCTTATCATATTCTGGTCTTAAAACTATATTTCTCTTTAACCAATCACACTTGGCAAGCAGAGTTTGTGTACTTAATTATCAAGTCTTTATTGGTGACATATGTCATTATGAACTCAGGTGTGTCTAATGAGGCTTTGTTGTTCCTTTGAAATGCAACTGCTTGTCATCGAAGATTAAAAGTACAGAGGGCCAATTATACTGCAAATTGTTTATAAAACTTGTGTGTTTTATTTCATTTACTTCCAGTATTTACAAATAGACAATATATTACAAGTGCTTAAGCAAGTACTTATTATAGCAAATAGTTTAGAGAATTACTTTTTACTCTACCTTTAACCTAATTGTCTACTCCCCCTTTTTAATTATGTTAAAATACTGGTAAAAATACCAACTTTTGCAAAAAAAAAACCTAATAAATGCATCCACACTGGTTAAAAAATGTGCATTTATTCATTTTCTAAATTGGAGCTCATAAGCATTGCAACTGTAATCAGTGCATCCAAAGCTGCTGGTAGAAATCACAGGGCCTGTACAGGCTACCTGACAAGGCCCCCATAAACTGTCAAACTGATATTTTCACTAAAAACACACTAGAATCATTATTAGCTGACACAAAATAAAAATCATAACTTACAAAATTCCTGCTAAATCTAAAAGATAAAACTGTATTGAGTTAATAAATAAAGCTCCGTGTGTGAATGAGGTCTTGGGGCTCATTCAGGTGGGTGCTGTGGCCTGTAAAGTGTGAATCAATGGTTTATGTCTCTGCAGCTGCCCAGCTGTGAACCTATACTACTCTATGGGGACGAAGCAGCTGTCGAACACAGCCGAAGGTCCTAATTTGACAGGCGTGTGGGTGCAGGGTGTACGGCCCCAAACACAGACAATATGCAGTTGGGGTCAGTCACTGAGAACTGCACACTTGCGAAGAGTACCTGTGTAAATGAGCCCTTAGGGTTGGGGGTGTGCACATGCCATGCAACTGTGACAGGGATAACCCCATTGAACAAGAGCCATACAAGAGAATTGTGCTGTTCTATAAGCTCCCTGCAACTGCATGAAGTGCATGCGGTTGTAGTGCACCAGTCCATGGTTAAAGCAGGCATAGTAGAGGCAATACAGTGCCTTCTCACTGCTTGCCACGTACATTTGGATCGCTGTTCAGAGAGCACAGCACATGTAAACAAGTCTTTAATTTTTTTTTGTTTTACAATTTTTTTTTACACTTCTTTACAGCCTTGTTTGCTTTAGTGAAAAATCAGGGGTCTAAACAGACCCCTGATGTCTCATTTTGAAACAATGGTTTGAGGATATTCCTCAAGCCATTTGTCTGCAGTCTCAGCTGCACTGCAGAATGAATGAATGGGAAGTGCTCTGTACAGAGGCTTTCTGTTCATTCACAGACTGAAGCATAATAAACACAGTTTACAGGGCTTAGAGGGTGTCAATTTCTTTATCTTTGCTGAAAAAATGAAGACATCTGAATATGCACATTTAGACAATTGTACTTTTTAAGGCTGTTCACACCTGGCAGTGACAGGAGGATCCAACATCTCAGCAGCTCCTTAGGAAGTTAATGCTAAATACATCTAAGGTTCCTGTGTGACAGCCTTAACAGGTTCTAAATCTAGTTACTATGGGATGTGCAAGACTCATAAAGTAAAAAAAAATCCTCTGAGTGAGAGAAATCCTCTTGTCTTCTTGTCTTACATCTCTCAGACCCTGCAGTCCACAGTGGCAGAGTTTTGGTAGCAGAAGGTGTGCTGCCAGTCCAGAACATAGTGAGCAGGGCTACATGTGGCCAGCTGTTGACTGACAAGCAGGGTGGACTGACAACTCATTGGGCCCCCGGGCAATAGGGGATCATGGGGCCCCTGTGTCCTTGCCCACACTCAAACCACACCCAAAAAAGCCTATGAAAGGTACCAGGGGCATGTCGTGGGGCCCCCTTCTGACCCCGGGGCCTCGGGCAGTGCCCGAGTTCCCAAATGGTCAGTCTGCCCCTGCTGACAAGTGACAGCCCTGTGTGTCAGCAGTGACAATGGCTAAGGGCCATGTCCTCTGCAAGCCCTTTTCAGCCACTGTAGTGAAAGCAGACACAGTCTGCATGAGGGCGACAACGAAAATTCTTAATTTAGGAGCAACGCAGCAGCGTTGTCACACCATCACAGGAAGCTGCATTAGGTGGATTTCACTTGCAGACTCTACATGTATTTTCCAGACTTTGCAGGGGTCTGAAGCTTCAGCATGACATGGAAAGTAACTGTACATTTTGGCTCTATCATCTGGTAGTCATATCACGTGGGCCACATTGGAAGAAGAGGAATTGTCTTGGGTCGCACATAAAATACACTAACAATAAAGATAGCTGATGAGCAGAAAGAGTTGGCAGATCACAAGTTAACGATCACTAATATAGATAATGTACCTATGTGATTAATAAAACTTCATTGCTTTGTAATTTTTTCTATTGTAAAAGTAAAAGAGGGCAACATAAATCTAGTGCAATTTTTGACACTTTTTGATAAACTAACGCATCAATATGTGGTTTGATGGAAATAGTATTTTCCATCATGCTTGAGGTGATTGCAGCCATATTAGTGCACTTGCGACAGAAACAATTGAGTACTTTCAGTAAGTACTGCTTGGACCTTGAAAAAGGGGACATACCTTGAAAGCTTGTCCTGAAAATGGTATGTTACTGCAAACAAAAAAAGTATCACAAACAGTACTCAATTGTTTCTATGGAAATAGTACCAATTCTCAATGAATTCTCAGGGTGCTCATCAGATGTTTTGGTTCTAATTTTGCCCTTTGTGTGCGTCATCTTTAAAAAATAGTTGCTCACAAATATAGGTGCTGCTGAAAACTGAACACATAAAGAAGATGTGATTGTGAAGTGTGGGAGATTTTTCTTTGGGAAGATAAAACTTCTAAAAGTCCAATAAAGGGATACTGTCAAATTTTTCTTCAGCTAAATGTGTTCGCTAAGTGTAAAAGCATTTTTTCAAAAAATGTCCTAAAAAACCAAAATGTTTACAATTTTGTGTTTGGGATGAATTTATAGCCGTTTTGGCCATATGTGGCCCATGGGCCAAAGTTTGTACACCCCTGATATAAACTATTGAGTTAGATTTATTATTATAATTTTCTTTGCATATTGGACTTAATTTGAAAAACTATATAGAATTAAGACGTTAAAACCTTAGTTCTTTCACAATATTTGAGTTAGAATTGAGATTGGCACTTTATTTACTGACATAACTAGTTCTGCAAATGATGCGAAGAGTCTATTGATATTGTTCTGTATTTACTGTAATATCCTGGAAATAGGAGATGCTTCTGTTGATTAAATAACGTGCAGGTTTAACAGCTGGAATTATTCCATAAAGGTGTACTTCAATGTCAATCGTCAATTCGGCGGTAACATGATCTCCAGTGAGAGGAACAGAATCCCTGGAAGCATGTTCTGATTCTAGAACATGACACTTCTAAAGTAACACTATTTACTTAGGTAAGAATAAAAGAATGGCAAAATCTGCCTGTTTTGTGTTTGTTAATTGGGATTATATTCTTGTATTGCCATTTAAATGCATCATCTACAATTCAAATACTACAGTTTAATGCTTTAGCACTTCATATCCCAAACAAGAGATGGAAAAATTGGGAAGGCCTCTCATATCTCTGGATGACTCAGTGCATAAAGTCATTAAAGTAGCATTAAAAGTATTGTATATTATTTTCAATAATTGGTTATATTTGCTTTTAAAAGTGATTAGCTGCATGTAAATAATTGAGCCAAAATGTATTCATGTTTTAAAACCTTGTTGGTATATATAGTTTGTAATTATCTATGTTTTGGAGAGTAATATCTGCTCTTCATGTATTCAAGCTGTACTTTACCTACTGCTTTGCTGCAACATGTGTCCATTTTATTGCTCTTTCTCATGATTCAAGTCTATGCATTTTATCACTGCTATACTCTGTCCTCAGATTGTCAGCTCCTGACGATGTTGCATAGTAATGACAAAATGCATAGGATAGTACTTCCGGTGAGGTTGCATCCACTTCGTGGAACACGTGCTGGTACACACAGCAGCTCTTACAGTTCTGTGCGTACTCTTCATATAGGGTTTGTTTTTCCCTTAATAAAAAATGGTGCTTGCACTATGAGAGGCTCTTGTTCTTTCACTATATGTGTTCAATGAACAAACTTGGCAAATATCTATCTAGAACGGCAAATAAGATATGGGACATTCCGGAAAAGAGACACTGGGTGTGGATTTGCCAGGGGATACTTTGAATATTTTTTCACTCTCGTGTTAGTTTAAGGAGTCAGTAGTCTCTGGCGAGTGTGGTGTTGATTGGGGAACCACAAACTGGGATGGAGTTAAGGATTTTATTACCTAATTTACTTTCTCTCCAGTGAACAATTAATAAACTGATACATACAGTATAATACAATGACGAGAATAAGTAAGAGCAAGCATGTAAAAAAAAGTCACACAAAAAATTGCTTTGCATAAAAGCAAATATTTATTATATTGCAGCTTACCAATTCTTAGAAGTGATGGCTGCATTCATTTTCTTTTTTAGGCTTTCTTTCTTCTATTTTCATCTGGTGATCCAGCAAGTAAATCTGTTGTTTTTCCAAAGGAACAAGCTCTCCTGTAGGGTAACAATGCTGCTGTCCAAATGTGCCCACTGACCATTCGGCACTCGGGAGCCCCATGAGCAAGGCTGTCTTTTCTCACAGGTGTCCAGCTGAAGCTGCAGAGAAAATTAATGGGGAATGTTTCTATAGTCCCTTTCTCTGTCTCAAAAGTGAGACTTCAGGAGTCTTTTTAGATCCCTGATATCTCACCAAAGACCTCCCCAACAGCAATGTGAAAAAATGTAGAAAAAATATTGAATTAAAAGTAATTAAAATGAAAAATAATTAAAAATTGTAAAAAAATATATAAATGTGTAAAAGGTCAGGCTAAAATATCTAATTAGACTAAAAAGCCATGCCCAATATGTGGTATAATCTAGCCACACCAACTATGTTAGCCTTGGACCCACTGGGAATGCTTGGAGCGATGACATCACTCATAGGCTCCCATGGCCTATCCATTGTCAGAGCTCCCTCCTCTCCCCTTCAGCTGCCCCTGACACAGGGGAGTTGGATCACATGACTGGACCAGAGCAGCCTGAATATATGTAGTATATACATCTTTCGTACACATGTTAGTTAGAAAAGGTAGTAGAAGGGGAAAAGGAGCATTTTTAAGATTAGTTAGGTTTAGCCTGGAATTCTACTTAAAAGCCTGGAAGTCTAACTTAAATCCAAAGTGTGCTTCCCCCCTTCCCCTGGGAACACACAAAATGTGCACAGGCAGAGGCTGGAAGACCGACTGGCATTTACAGGCTGCACTGGGGATCAGAAGGAGGAGGGCACAGACACACCAGGCTCAGCCTATCCTGCTTTATGAATTTTCTTACAAAAGTGGTGCAGCACTACCCCCTTAAGGGTTGCTGAATTATTTTCGGGCTCCCTGTCGCTCTTGACCCCACTCTGAAAGCCCAACCCCTGCTGACACCACCATACACTTCTGGCCAAAGTAAACTTTCTCAATATTATTAGAAAATAGAATCACACACAAGTTAAAGTGAACTGATACTTTGTTTATATTAGAGTTCAGTATGAGCACAAAAAAGTAGCACAAAATTATAGGTATGCAAATAATAACAATTCTTAGTAACTTTAAGCAAAGGCCAACACATACAGCAAAAATCTCAATCAGTTCTGGACGTCCTGCAATTCAAAATTTAACCAAAGGCATCAACTCTGAGATGTTTCTGTCCACAGTGAGCGAAGGAGAAACTACCAAGGAATAATGCTTGCTCACTTTGGGCCCTCAGAAGCTGATGACAAGGTTCAAATCTAAAATGAAGAACTATTTAATTAGGAAAGCTAAAGTCCCTTTAACTGCAGTGAAAGATCTTCTGTGCGCTTGTTGTGGCCCAGCTGGTGCACTACAAGAATTCGGATCTCCTTGGTTGCAACAGGTGGAATCCCTCAAAAGGATTTATGCGAGCACAGGCACTATCCCTTTAGGCAGTATTTAACTCAGGCAGTACCCCTTTTAAGGCACAAGATATAATGCAGATTTGAAGCAAGAGAATTAAGGGGTGGGCAGAGGCAATTGTTAACAATTCCTCTCTAGGCTGCAGTAGCAAATGATAACAATGACAAGTGTCCAGGGGCGGATTGACAACTCATGGGGCCCCCGGGCAATAGGGGATCATGGGGCCCCTGTGTCCTTGCCCAAACTCAAAAAAAGCCTATGAAAAAGGTATCAGGGGCATCTCATGGGGCCCCCTATTGACCCTGGGCCCTTGGGCAGTGCCCAAGTTTCCAAATGGTCAGTCCGCCCCTGCAAGTGTCCCTTGATGCATGTAAGCCAATTGCAGAGGAAACGGTGGTGTGGCTTGGCCCACAGAGGGCGGACACTGCAGCATGCTCTGATGACTGGATTATGCTGGAGATGTGTTTTCTAATAGGCCAGATGAACTAGGCCTCAACTTGTGTCACTGTTGAACAGTGTCAGTAACTGTATAGGGAATGGCTGATTCAAGAGAATGTCAGTGACAACTTAATTGGCGGGAGATTGGGACTCTCTCACCCGATCTGTGGCATCATCTGAATCACTGGTGGTTTCACTGTAGATGGGGGCCCCCAGCAGTTCCTCCTGCAGAGGAACCCTTCCTGACTGCAGCACTCCAGGTCACCAGTTGACAGGGTAGTTCCGCAGACTTTTTGGCGATGTCAGTGGGCGGCCATTCCTCCCTTTTTCTCTGCTCTCTCTCTCTGCGGCCTGGTCTGGTCCTCCAGCATTCACACAGCTCTTTCCTCATACCTTCCTTCCAGCTCTCTCCAAGCTCACTTCCTTCCTCTGTTCCCGGGCCTCTACATTTACATGCCTCTGCCCACACGCCAGCTCTTCTGGGAAATGTTGTCCCCA